TTACTAAATTAAAATGGGAGAGTATATATTTCGGTTTTTATTTCTTTAAATAATAATGTCGTCCCGCCCATAGCACCGGATAATTAGCTAGTGATATTGTAACAGCACGTGCGTTGTCGTAAAACCAGCACATGTGAGCTTTGGGATTCTGTAAAAACCACCTTCATTTCATTAGTTTTTTTTTGTTTCTTAACCATCAATATACGAACCTCTTTCTTAATTACTCTTTTAATAATCTCCAAAAAATCAAACTTCCTCTTCTTCCAATGGCTCTCTCCATCTTCTTCAGTCTCTTGTCTATTATCTTCTCTTTTACGCCGGCAAATTCACAGTCTTTTATCGGAGTAAACTACGGCTTAGTCGCGGACAACCTTCCACCACCCTCTGATACGGCCAAACTCCTCCAATCAACATCCATTCAGAAAGTCAGGCTATACGGCGCTGATCCTACCATCATCAAGTCCTTGGCCGGAACAGGCATCGGAATCGTCATCGGAGTTGCTAACGGTGATCTCCCATCTTTAGCCTCTGATCTCAACGCCGCTTCCCAATGGATCAACTCCAACGTCCTTCCTTTCTACCCTGCCTCCAATATCATCCTCATCAATGTCGGTAACGAGGTAAACCATCCTCTCAATCCTTTAACTTTTTTGTTTGGTCACGAATGCATCTCCTTTATCGATTAAATAAATATATTGTCTATTGTCTGTAACTTTTCTCTAAGTGATTTTCTCGAGGAAATTCCTAAGTATTCATGTCCCATTGATGAAGGTGTTGTTGTCGAATGATCCAAATTTGGTAAACCAGCTTCTCCCGGCGATGCAAAATGTTCAAAAAGCCCTCGAGGCAGTTTCACTCGGCGGGAAAATTAAGGTGTCTACGGTCCATGCCATGACAGTGTTAGGTCAGTCCGAACCGCCATCGGCCGGTTCGTTTGCTTCCGCTTATCAGGCCGGTTTAAAGGGTATTCTTCAGTTTCTTAGTGATACTGGATCGCCTTTTGCTATCAACCCGTACCCGTTCTTTGCGTACCAGAGTGACCCGAGACCTGAAACGCTGTCGTTTTGCCTTTTCCAGCCTAATCCTGGACGAGTCGACTCCAATACCGGAATCAAGTACATGAATATGTTCGATGCTCAGGTAAACAAATTAGAGCTCTATGTACCTAGCTCATAAGGTTCGGGTCTATACTAATCAAATTGGAGTCATTATAAAATTAATTAATGTGGAATATTGTTAATGTGATATAAGGTTATAATTTAAACGTGCTCTTCAAATTGGAAAGTAGTAAGTCTTTGGTTTTGAATTAGGTGGACCGTTTAATACCTAATCTCATAATCCAGCTGAAAGGCTGAAATTTCGTGATATACAATAGTACTATTACTTCTTTCTTTTTTTGACAGCAAATCATATTTGTTTATTTGGRCTCATGGTATGGTTCATTTTAATATAATTTATTGTTACACCGAGATCTAC